TAGCTCTGCACCTTTTGTAAAAGAGTGTTGCCTTTAACCTCTCTGGTAAAGAAGAGAGCCTATTCTCAAGGCTCTGACCTTTAAGGATATTACCACTTTTGCACTTATATAAAGATAACAAGTAGCAGAATAGAAAATAAAGTTTTGTTTGAAGTTTTACAGCTGCCTGTAGAATTGACCCACGTGGACAGCTGCAAGAACAAAGAATTCTTACAGCAAGAAGTTTGCAACAACCAACCACACCCCCTCCCTTTTTTAGTATAAAAAGAGCCTTAATTCTGACTTCAGTAAGATGGTTCTGCCATCTTCTTGGTCTGCTGGCTTTCTGAATAAAGTAGCTATTCCTTGCCCCAGCCCCTCATCTCCCGATTTATTGGCCTGTCATGCGGCGAACAAAACGAGTTTGGTCTCAGTAACACGGTGACATATAATATGTATTAACTTTATTTATAACTATATATTAACTTTTTGTATAAATATTATAGTTATACTAAGGTTAAAAAATCAACTTTGGTTAACTGAAATCTCTTACTTAACAAAAAGAAAAATTCATTTGTTTTCATTGCTGTTGAGAAATATTTCAAAAGATTTTCATTCCTTTTTTGTTTGCCAGTGGTTTCTGTGGAGTGAATGTGGAGTGAACATTTCTGAACCCTTCTGATTTAAGACCCTGCAGTACCCAAGGATCACTGGGCTGCAGGCACACCAGTTCTCTTGCTATTAGCCTGCAGTTGTAAGAGGTGGCAAGGTAGGGCTGAATCTGGAAAGAGATCAGAACAAACTGGTAAGTTGAACTTTCAAATGAACTTCTAATACTGCATTTGGTTTTTGTTATTGTTCCCTTTCATTAAAAAAATCAAGTGGAGCCTTGTATGTCTTTATTTATGGGTTCTAGTTGTGGTTTTACTACATAGTATGTTTCAAAAACTTACACTGAGAAAAGCAGCTTGATATTTTGCTCCACATAAGCTTTGTTTTGAAGAGTGATTCTATTTTTATTTGCTAACAGCTCCTAGTTATTGAGTGTGTGCCAAGACTTGTCAGTGTCCCAGAGGGGAGGATCTCAGTCAGCACCTAGATTCAAGCTAATTGGAAGCCATCGAAGAGTGATTCTAAACGTTGGTGGTCCATTGGAATCATCTAGAGACATCACCCGGCCTCAGGTAGGTATGAGAACAAAGCTGCTAAGTGGTCTTCATTCTGGGTAGCCATGTGACCAGCTAAAATTTGAAGGTTCCATTCTATTTAAGGAAAAAGGAATTTATCAGGCTACAGGTTTTGAGTCAGTAAGCCATGTGTGGGAGTTGTGTTTTGAAAAAAATCTCCTCTACGTATCTCTGATATGCTACTCTAGTGTTCAACAATTATCTTGAAAGGGAAAGCTTAACACCTAGTCCATTATGTTTAGATACATCTTAATATGATAAAATAAAATTAGAGACAAGTTTGAAAATTTTGAATAAAATTTAGTATGTTTGGGGATTTCTGAGAAAAATTAATTGCCAGACTATATTAACTCATAGTTAACTTAAATTGTGAATAATTATATGACTCCTCTGTAAAGAAGGAGGAATATAGGTCCTGGAGAGACATCTTAGTGAATTTTTAGAGAATAAGTCTTGGAATCTAGTCAAACATGCCTAAACCTGTAAAATATACTTTTACTTCATCTGAGGTATTTTCTTGGGCTTATGTAAAGTTCATTTAAAGGACAGTGCTAGAAAGCTTGCCATGGTCTATTAGCTATGCTACACCAATTACATAAAACTGCTTCATATCTATAGGAGATATCAATAGGATGTTTTCAAAAGAAATGTTGTTTCTTTTTAGTATTTATGTAATAAACTTACTCTGACATGAGATACTCTTTTCCTCAAAAATACGAAATCAAAATAGTCTTTCTAGCTGAATAGCTAGAAAGTCACTAAATCACAGTGTTACAGAGTCCCATGAGGATGTAGGTACAGTAAGTATTAATATATATACGGTTGAATCTGCTCTGGCCCTCCCTAGAGTGTTCTTGAGACCCCAGGAATACTCTAATGTTGATTCCGTTTCTAGTTAAACAGTAGATCTCCTAAGGAATAGTGCCTATATCATAAATGTTGAAGATGCCAGATACAACCGTTGCACAGCTAACATTGCTCTTTGGAAACAAACAAACAAACTGCAATTCTCAGATTGTTTATAAGTTGGAAAATAGTGTAAATTTTAAACAAATTGGAAGTAATATTGAAGAACTGTAAAACTGAATTTTTTGCCATGTCTAACTACCTGCTATGACAAATTCTTATTAACAATTCAGAATTGCTGTAGGAGGAGCTATCAGGTTTATCAATACCTTTAGCTATATATCAGTAGAGAATTTAGTTTTAAGTGTCAGAGACAAAAAGTGATAGTAGTATAAAAATAATTTATTTTTCTCTCATTAAAAAGTCTGGATACAGGCAATTGAGTTTTGCTCCATAAAATGTTACGAGACATTCAGTCGCCTTCTATCTTTTTCTTTTTTTTCCCTCAAACTCCATTGAGGTAGAGTTGACAATTAAAATTGTATATCTTTAAAGTGTAAAATTTTATGACTTGATATATGTATCCAGTGTAAAATACTCACTATGAACAACCTAATTAGGAACCCAACTTCAAAATGACCCCTGTACCCCAATGTTCATAGCAGCACTATTTACAATAGCCAAGACATTGGAACAGCCTAAATGTCCATCAACAGATGACTGGATAAAGAAGATGTGGTATATTTATACAATGGAATACTATTCATCCACAAAAACCAACAACATAATGCCATTTGCAGCAACATGGATGTTCCTGCAGAATGTCATTCTAAGTGGAGTAAGCCAGAAAGAGAAAGAAAAATACCATATGAGATCGCTCATATGCGGAATCTAAAACAAAACAAAACAAAACATAAATACAAAACAGAAACAGACTCATAGACATAGAATACAAACTTGTGGTTGCCAAGGGGGTTGGGGGAGGGAAGGGACAGACTGGGATTTCAAGATGTAGAATAGATAAACAAGATTATACTGTATAGCACAGGGAAATATATACAAGATCTTATGGTAGCTCACAGCAAAAAAAAATTTGACAATGAATATATGTATGTTCATGTATAACTGAAAAATTGTGTCCTACACTGGAATTTGACACAACATTGTAAAATGACTATAACTCAGTAAAAAAAAATTCAAAAAAAAGAAAAAGAAAAAAATAAACTAATGGAAAAATTTTCTGTATCAGGTAAAAAAAAAACAAACAAAAAAACCCAAAATAAACATGTAGATACAGAGAATAGAGTCGTTGTTCCCAGGGGGGAAAGGGGCGAAATGGGTAAAGGGTATCAACTATATAGGAACAGGGGGACACTAAAGTTTTGTAGGAAATATAATGTCCTCATGGAATTCATATAACATAACCTCAATAAAAAATAAATTTTTAAAAATTTTAAAAAACAAAACAAAACAATTCATTACCTCATAGTTACCTTTGTGTGTGTGTGTGTGTGTGTGTGTGTGGTTAGGACACTTAAAATCTACTCCCTTATTTTGTTTCTTCAATAGGGATGGTCTCCATGTTCAAGAAAATTCAGGGTTCAAGAAGTTCTCTCCATCTGCAGATATCAAGTCAGAGGAAGGAGGACAAGATGAGGGTGTAGGGAAATTGACAGAGGTGGAAGCAAGTGTCTCACAGAAAGATTTTCACATGTCACTTTTGCTAACCTTATATTGATCATATTTTAGTTTAAGCTAGCCATACAGGAAGCTGTAAAGGGAAGTCTCTACTCTGGGTAGCCATGTTACCAGCTAAAACTTGGGGTTCCATTCCTTTAAGAAAATCAGAGAATAGGTTTTGGGGAAAAACTATTGCTTTTCTCTTATGTGGGCCTCTAACGTGAGATATCATGATAGATGATAGATCCTCAGAAAAAAAATTACTAGTAACTTGTATCTGCTAACACAGTGACCCTTATTACTTTAGAGGCTTGAAATATCACATGTAATGAGATCAAGTCTATAATAAAACTAGAACCATAGAATTTCAGAGTCAGATCAGGCTGAAAAACCATGTATTTTATAAAGAACAAAGTGCAGACATTTCTCACTAGTGGTGTCTTAGCTTTTGATTTTTTTTTTTCCTGAAAGACCATTCTTGCATGGATCTCAAATGTTTTAGATGCTCTCAATTTCCAATCATTCGTTCTAACACTACCCTTCAACTCAGTGCCTCTCAAATTGTTCTTTCCTCATTCAAGACAATTCTCTGAATATTAAGAAAAAGCTGCTTTCGCCCCTTAAGTATGACCTCCACAGTGACCTTAGGACCAAATAATCTGTGTTTCATGAACACAAATTTTAGATTCATTATCATCTAAGTAATCCCTTCCTTTGGATTTCTGGGTGCTGTTAAGTTTAAGTCAATCTTAACATCTGATTCAACAATATTCATTCATCCTAAAGCACAAGACATCCTTCATTTCTTCTTTCTTCCTAATTCAAGTTGAACGAGACATAACAGAAACGATCTGGCAGCTGCTGACGATACCCGCCCCTCCCCATCCCCACCCTCCTCGTTCCCATTGCTGAGGTGGAGAGCACGGCATGCGGCAAAAGAGTGTCTCACAGCTGCTTCCACAGTTCATTTGTCCTGTGTCCTCTAGCA